GCCGCGGGCAGGGCTCTGTGTTTGGAACAGCAGGTTCTTCTCCCGTAACCTGGTTTTGCTGCCGCGCTTCCAGGGCAGGATTCAGGTCAGCCCGTGCTCAGAACGAGCAAAGTGCTGATCGTTAAGTCAGCTTGTATTCCAAAATTAGAGGCCCCCCCCCACCTCCACCACCACCATCATGCTGTGTTCAAAATTGCCCGGGTGGATTTATTATTTATGCCTCTCTCTTGTGATGATTTATTCAGGAGTTCGCTGCAAAGTGAGATTCCCTTTGCAGTAGCACGTCGGTTTTCTTCCTGGGGGAGGGCGATGTGCTAAAGAAGAAAAGCTGCGCTGGGAGCCAAGCGGGCAGGCCGAGGGCTGGGTTACTGGGAGAGCAGCGCCTTTGTTCGTAGCAGTCTCTTATTGGAGCAATCAAAGTCTTCAAGATGGGGAGAAGTGCAGGGCAGTGTGTGCAGACGAGTTTCTGGTTTGCTTTTCCACATCCTTTGGCCTGGGTGGTGCCGGTGGGCTGAGGGAGCCAGAACTCTTGGTGACGGTGGGTGCTGTCGCCCCAGGATGTTGGGCTCCTCTTGCCTCGGAGCCCAGAGGTCCCTTGGGTTGCAGGAATGGGAAGAAGAAAGTTATCTCGGTGCAGCAGCAGCGCAGGTGGTTTCCCTTCTCTGTGGGGTTTGTGGTGTGGTCGCGCTCACAACTCAACTAAATTGCATGTTTTGTGCCTTTTTTGTTGTTTTTTTTTGCAGAGGCGGATCCTAGATGGGAGCTTAGGCTTTGCCGCGGGGGTAAGTACAGCAGGCTCCTCATGCCTGGGTTCCTCCTGCCGACCCCTTTGAACCCCACCGTGCTTCGTGTAGATTTCCACTCGCGTTAGCGTCTCCTGAGTAAATCCCTGAGGTGCAGGTGGGGTGGGGAAGAGCCCGGCGCAATGCTGGACACGTCTTCTTGCGCCTCGGTACCTCTTCGGTGAGGGTGAGTGCGGCACAAGAAGGGTCACGAGGCCGCCGAGCTGCCCACGCTGGGTTTGGCTCTCTTGAGTTAAACTCTTTCTTATTTCCTTGGGCTTCTGAATCACTCCTGAGTGCGGTGGAGATGGGCACAAGAGCCCTTGTCCTGCAGGCTGATGTGCGTCGTTTGCTTTGTGTTTCTCGCTCTTCTCGGAGCGTGAGTGCCTTAAACCCTTGGGAGGAAGGGGAATAAAGACACTGCAGCTCTACACCGAGCACGCACGCTAAACGTGGGGCTTGTTGCATCCTTCTTGAAGGGAAGACACGAAACTCTGTGGCCCCAGATTGTGTTGGCGCTCGTGAACCTAGACCTTCCCCTGCTGCCCAGCTGTTGAGGCGATGGGGGAGCAGGTGGAGGCTCTTCCAGGCTTGTTAGATCATGTTTGTTTTTCTTCAGGTGCTGGAGCGTGCCTGGGAGCCCCGGGCAGCGTGCTTGGGGTGCAAGTTGTGTTTTCCCAGGGCGTGTGCTGGGCTCTGCAGGGTGCTGACTGTGTGGCTGGAGCGTGGGCGATGCTGCCGGGTTTGAGGCCTGGTGCCGCGGGCGATCCGTCCTGCAGCCTCCACTAATGCTGCCCCTTCCTCCTCGTGCACCCCCAGCCGCTGCGACGCCGCCAACCGAGGTGCAATTTGTCTGTTCATAGCTCTGAAAATCGCAGGTTTTCTGTTGTTCCCGGTGCCTGAAGCAAACCCAGCAGCGCCGAGCGAGAGCAGGTGACGCGAGCAAGCTCCGTTTGCTCCCTAGCAAGCTTTCCTTGGAACGTGCCTGCAACCTGCTAATGATGTGAATAATTCAACTCGTCTGTGGTAGCAGATTCTTGGGCCATCATTTATAAATGAAATGCTTGCGTCGGGGGTTGCCTGTTCTGGAGCTTTCCTCCGCGGTTTGATTTCCGAGCTGTTTTTCTCTTGGAAAGACACACCCTCGTCCCTGAAAGCCCAGGCGGTGGTGTCGGGGAGACGCTGCTGGGGACAGTGTGGGCTGGGCTGTCCCCTCCCTGTGGCACCAATGCCTCCTGAAGCACCATCCACCAGCTGGGGAGGTACCAGGGTGCAGCAGGGTGTCTGTCCCAGCTGAGGGTTGGCTCTGGTGCTGTGTCCTCGCTGTGGTCACTGCGTCACCCTGCCAGGAGCCCTGAGTCATCCCTGCGTGGCAGAGGTGTGGCTCGCCTAGTGGAGCAAAAGTCCTGCAAACCTTTGCTTTCCCCCCAGCTTCTTTCAACTTACTCAGAGCGGGAAAAGGGGATTTTTATTTTTCTGGGGTTGCTGCGGCGTCTGGAGGGGCAGAAACCTGCGGTGACAGGGTCCCGCTGGCGGAAGGTGCTGCCAGGTGAACAACTCACGAGCTGCAATTTATGAAGGTTTCAGGTCACGTTCGTGGGCTGCAGCTGCTGAAGCAGGTGCTGGCGGGAG